TGCAATTATATGATCAAATCAGTGTATTTTTGAGGAACCAACTTTTACTCATTCAATTAGATAATTAGTTTTGTAGATGCTTGAGAATATCAATTAACAGGAATTGTTCACATTTGAGATAAAAATTCTTGAAAATAATTTCCAAATAAGGACCTCTACCCCATTTTCTTCTTGTAATTGTAATATATCAATTACAAATCCTATGCTATTCACATGGGTCAGAAAACTGGCAGGGGTCAGACAGGGCAGGCAAAATAGATTGTGGGTGCTTAGTATCTATTGTCAGGAGAAAGTGGAGATATTCTATTTTTTACATATGTATAAAAGCTTTTTTCCCCTAATTTTGGAAAATTTCATTTTGAATTAGATAGCTTAATTAGTCATATATATTCTCTGAAGAATATCGCCATTTCAGTTTTCTTATTTGTCAAGAAAAAAAAAAAAAGAAAAAACAATGGCAAGGGATTGATTATTCTTAAAAAGATAGAGACCTCTTGTGGTCATTCATAAAAGTACTTTAAAAAGCAGAAACCTGGAGTAGTTCAGTTTGTGAGAAGGTTTCAAGATCTCTGGCTTAGCTGACATACATTAAAAGATGTTTACAAATATGTATGAATTACCTAATACCTGTCAAAATAGGTAATGTCAGTAATAGAACTTTACATAATGACAACTGCCTAAATATATATACATCATTCAGCTATAATACTTCTATATGGTAATTTAGAAATTGACTGAAGCATAAGACATAAAGGAAAGTGCACAAATCATTGTTTAGCTCAAGGAATTTTTCCAAACTGAGTTGATCTGTGTATCCAGCATATCTGGTAGATTTTCATCATAATTATAGGTAAGGTGACTCAGGTTCAGAGAGAGTAAGTGAACTGTTATTTCATAGTACCAATTAAATCTATTTTAACTTCAATCTCTCAGAAATATTTAAATGAATGATGAATTTCAATAAATATTAACGTAGGACTTCCCTGGTATTCCAGTGGTTAAGAACCTGCCAGCCAGTGCAGGGTATATGGTTCGACACCTGCTCTGGGAAGATTGCACACACTGAGGGGGACCTAAGCCTGTGTGCCACACCAACTGAGCCCACGTCCTAGCGCCCGTGCACCGCGACGACTGAGGCCCCTGCGCCTGGAGCCTGTGACTCAGTGGGACGGCCACCGCAACGAGAAGCCCTCACACTGCAGCGAAGAGGAGCTCCTGCTAGAGAAAGCTCTCGTGTAGCGATGAGGACCCCGTGTAGCCAAGAATAAATAAGTAAAAAATTTTAAAGTTAACATAAAAAACAGTCAATTTACTGAGCCATGATCCACTGTCCGGATTTGTAAGTACTGAATTTTGTCAAATGAAATTACCTTTACACAGAATTTTTAGAGCAGTAGATAGGCTACACTTTATTGTTCTTTGTCATTGTTCACCGCTGCTACCGGTGATGGTGGTTAGCTACTCTTTTTCTCAATTAATAAGCAGTTTGGGAGCATCTTTTATGTACAAAGCACTATTTTGGATTCTTGGGGATACTAAAATGAATAATATTGGGTCTTTGACCTTCTGAGGCTCAAAGTCTAATGCACAAGAAAGACATGTGAGCAGTAGTTTGATATGGTAGTTTGTGTTCTAACAGACATGTATATACCTGTATATCTGTGTGGACTACTTTTCAAGAAAGTGGCTGTATTTTCCCTAATGTCTACTCCAGCTGTGTAAAGCTTGAAAGTCTACAACTTTCTTTGGTGTAAAGCTAGCATAGTGTTGTAGAAAGCAGTACTTGCCTAGTAGTCAAAAAGTCATGTTTGAATTGTAGCTCTCTCAGTGACTAGTGAAAACATTTTGAGGCCTAAAGAGAGAAGAGCAAGACCATGAAGGGGCTTTTCCAAAAATTCTTTTTATCAACTGCTGTTTTGCAGGCAACATGCTAAGTGCTCTTGAAATGGAACAGGATCCTATGATCCTTGCCCCCCATGTCCTCTGCCTGCCTTTTGCCTGTGGAATAACTTGAGCCAAAGGAATAAGTTTAATCAGAGAAGTGAGAACATGTATAAACAAAGGAAAACAGTCAAAGGAAACCAAATAATAATAATAGTTTAGCCATTAAGCATAGTCAAGGACCTTTAGTTCTTGCTCAAGGGCTATAGATAATATTCTGAGCCATATCCTGGGAGCTGTCTTATACATAATGAAACCCCTACCAGGTGGAAGGAGTTAACTACATGATGACCAGACTATAACCATGACATAAGCTGCCATGACATAAGCTGAGAACTGGGCAAGGAAGTGGGAACAAACTGACCCTGAAACTGAAGAATAACTGTACTTAAAACAATCAAGATGATGTTGGTCAGACCACTGCATGACCAATTTCAAGATGACTATCAGAGATGACTGTGTTGTTTTGGCATGTAGCCACCCCTCCCCACCCCGGCCCTTCTGTCTATAAAAGCTGTTGCCCCCTAAAAGGTCTTGCCCCTTGATAGTCCGGGGTGGGAGGAGGGGAGGAAGTTGGCCTTTGGACAGGTGGGCCCCTGTTTCCCACTCTCCCAACTGTTGCAAGCATCCAAAATAAAACTTTCCTTCCCACCAACCTGGCCTCTTTATTGGCTTTTGAGTGGCAAGCAGCTGGACCCCACTTTTGGTTACTCTTTATACATAGTCTCTCAGCGAATGCCATGGCACTCATAGATGCTCATATTTTGCACATGATGAAGTGAAGGTGCAGGAGAGCTCAGAGTAAGAGTGGAGCTGGAGTTTAAACCCCACTCTGACTGATGTCACAGTTTTGCTTTTTCTTCTGCTCTGAAGTGTGAATCGATAAACAAATTTGGTAAGGATCACTTTTGCTGCAGCATTTGAATTCACTTAGGGTATAAAGGGGCTTCCCTTGTGGCTCAGATGGTAAAGAATCTGCCTGCAATGTGGGCGACCTGTGTTCAATCCCTGGGTTGGGAAGATCCCCTGGAGAAGAGAACAGCTATCCACTAGAGTATTCTGGCCTGGAGAATTCCATGGACAGAGGAGCCTGGCAAGCTACAGAGTGACTTTCACATAAAAAGGGGCTTCCTAGGTGGTGCTAGTGGTAAGGAACCTGCCTGCCAACGAGAGTTATTAGAGACTTGAGTTGGATCCTGGGTCGGGAATCCCCCTGGAGGAGGAAATGGCAACCCATTCCAGTATTCTTGCCTGGAGAATCCCCATGGATAGAGGAGCCTGGCAGACTACAGTCCATAGGGTTCCAAAGAGTTGGATATGACGGAAGCAACTTAGCATGCATGCAAGGGTATAAAGAGATACTATAAAAATCTTTAAACAATAATTACAGAGACCAACAAATAAAGTGTTGTAAAGGAGAGGAAGGACCTCATGAGATTTCTGTCTCTTCTAGGGGCCTTTTTTAGACCTTTCATTTCTCTTAGTACTTGTGTTTCCTGTTAAGACTGATAGATCTCATCTCCACTGTGGTCATCTATTTATTTTGTTGTCCCTGCCAACAGACTTATATCTTGGGTGTCATGTGTGAGGAATTATACATCTTTGTATTTCCAGTACCCAGTACAATGCTTGGAACACAGTAGATACTCAATAAATATTTGCTGGATGAATTATAACAAGCATTCATTTCATGGTCACATTAATACATATTCACTAAAAGAGAAATTCTGCTGATTTTTGAGAAGTATATAATAATGACTAGATTATCATAAAATTATGATTTTGACCATGGTTATAAAGAGAATGTTTATAAGGCAACTGAAATTGTACATAATATTTAGTGTCTACAACATGCTAGCCTGTTTTGAGTGTTTAACATTGTATTTAGTTATTTCTCACAAAAACCTTATGGGGAAAATAGAATTATCACTACTTCGTAAATTGGGAAAACTGAAAAACTAGGAAACAAACCCAAGTAATTCTGCTCTAAAAATTCTGTGTTAATTAGCAGGTGTTAAACTATTGTATATAGAAGGGGTAGACAGCAAGATCCTATTGCATAGCAGAGGGAACTATATTTGATCCTGTAATAAACCATAATGGAAAGAAATATGAACAAGAATGCACACACACACACACACACATGACTGAATCACTTTACTGTACAGCAGAAACACACACAACATTATAAACCAACAATACTTAAATGAATTAAAAAAATTTTTTAAATTAATCAATTAATTTTACTTTACAACATTGTATTGGTTTTGCCATACACTGACTTGAATCCACCATGGGTGTACATGTGTTCCCCATCCTGAACCCCCCTCCCACCTCCTTCCCCATCCCATCCCTCTGGGTCATCCCAGTGCACCAGCCCCGAGCACCCTGTATCATGCATCAAAACTGGACTGGCGATTCATTTCACATATGATAATTTACATGTTTCAATGCCATTCTCCCATATCATCCCGCCCTTGCCCTCTCCCACAGAGTCCAAAAGACTGTTCTATACATCTGTGTGTCTCTTGCTGTCTCGCATACAGGGTTATCATTACCATCTTTCTAAATTCCAATTTAGAAAGATGGTAAAAAATTTTTTTAATGGACAAAAAAATTTCTGTATTTAACAACCAGACTTTTAATTCGCATTGTTAATGAGATTTATTGTTGTTGTTACATGACCTCATAGTAGCATCTTCTAATGAAAACTCATAAATCTTTTGTCTATCAATCTTCCACCAAAGGCACAGCCTCTACATGAGGAATCCTAAGTATCTTGGGAAACTGATGCTTTTGTACCTGAGCCATCTCTACTCCATTTACAAAACCCATGAGTAATTTGCAATTGACACGTTTCATTACTCATCTTAAATAACCAGGAACTCATATTTTAGATCACTTCCCCTAAAAAACGTCCAATTGCACCTCCCAGGTGGCTTCCGTGCGCAGAGACCCCGCCCCGGGTCTTTGCGGACTCGCCCCGCAGCTTTCTCCAGCGAAACTACACTTCCCAGTGATCTGTTCGTCCATCCTCGCTAACGCAACTTTCCCGGCTCCGGGTGGCACCCGGAAAAGCTAAAGGGCTCTTTGCAAGGCAGTGTGGCTGGAGGAAGTAAAGGACCGACCGGCGAGGCCCTCCCGCGCTCGCGCACCCCGAAATGGCTCGGAGGCAGGACGAGCAGAGAGGGGGCGCGCCCTTGATGGCGGAAGGCAAGTCGGAAGCAGAGGTTAAGCTCATTCTGTACCACTGGACGCATTCCTTCAGCTCTCAAAAGGTAAAGGCCTCGGCCGGGAGGGCGGCGCGGATCGGGTTTCAGCACCTGGACAGCTCCCTCTGGGTGCCGCCCGGGGGAAGCCCGCCCACCCAGCCCTCCAACGCCTCAACCCCTGCGGGCGGGTGCGCCTGTGGGGCAGGGGTGCGCGTTCTATGGTGGAGCAGGGAGAATCAGTCTGAGATGGAAAGGCCGTGACTCAGGCACTGCCACTCATGAAATGCGACAGAAAACAGCACTTTCGGCGTTGGGGCGGGAGGCCTCGTTTCCGGGGCCTTTGGAGAGTGAGGCAGAGGGAAGCGCCTTCCGGCAACCGCCTCATCCAGGGTGTCTTCTTTCATCTTGGTTGATTCACTCTCTTCAACAGGCCTAGTGCATCTGTTTCAGGTTCTTACTATGGGGAGACACATTATAAGGTTTGGGACACAAAGAAATGTAGTAGTGATGAAGAGGGTGACCGTGGACTGAATATTGCCAGAATCATTCTCATTACTTATCTTTTCTAACTTACAAGATTGAGCTGCGAGAATATGTCTCGCTTGTTATTTCCAGGAACAGATCTGAAAGGAGTGTTGAAAACATTAATAACTCAGGGAAGCACAAAAAGGCTGCTTGCTGGTATCCAGGGATGTCATTTAATTAAGAGCCTACCTGCGCTGTGGTAACCAATGTGAACTCTTCCAGGTGCGCTTGGTAATTGCTGAAAAGGCATTGAAGTGCGAGGAACATGATGTAAGTCTGCCCTTGAGTGAGCACAATGAACCTTGGTTTATGCGTTTGAACTCAACTGGAGAAGTGCCCGTCCTTATCCACGGGGAAAACATTATTTGTGAGGCCACTCAGATCATTGATTATCTTGAACAGACTTTCCTGGATGGTAATGTTAAGGCTATTTGTGATTTCTTGGATTTACTTTCAACACAAATATTTGTCTTCCCTCCTTCCTCCCTTCCATTCCTCCTCCCCTCCTTCTCTTCTCCTCTGCTTCCTGTTTCCTCCCTTCCTACCCTCCTTCCTCCCTTCCTTTTGGTTTCATGATGGTGGTTTAGTGCCAACAACCTTTTCCATTTCCAGAAGCACACAAATAAAAATGGGTCAGTCGCATAATTTGCATAAGCCAGTGTGACTCCTTTGAAATGATTTCATATAAACTACCAATTTTAATGTTGGAATTTCCCTTTTAAATTCATTGCAAGAAACCCTGCTGGTGTATGATGTGTGGTGGTGATTTATTAGCCTTGAAGTCAGATTCATATTATTGACAACCTATTCTATGTCAGACATTTTGTAATTTTTGTTCTAGTCAGTCTTAAAAAAAAAAAACAAAACAAAACACCTGAGATAGGCATGGTAGATTAATTATTCCCATTTTGTACATGAGGAAAGAGAAACAGAGAGGTTGCCAAAGGTAACATAGCTGTTTTATAGCAGAACAGGCTGGAGTGTAAGCCTTTCAAATCCAAACCTTCCTATTACATGGGCTGTCTCTCATAGTCATTGGCACTTACACACTGTCTTTGCTTCTTCCCTAATAACAAGCCTTTCAGGTAAACTGTAGCTTCAATATTTGCCCAAGATTACACAGCCGATCACCGACAGAACTGAGAACAAACAGAGGGCTCTTAGCTTTCAGCCTAACAACTCTTCTGAAAAAGGAACTGCACGATAAGATCCAATTACTCTTCATCTGCTACCAGTTATGTGAATGTTAATTAGGCAGGATAAAACCAGAATATAACCCCACATTACTGGAAGCTGAGAAAGGAAATTTTAAGGCAAAAAAAAAAAGAAGTGTGAAGTACTTAGAAGATAGGTATAGGACCTAAATAGGGGTGGGGTTTGCCCCAGGGAATTAGATTAGCAATGGCCTGCCCCTATTAATCTAAGTGTTTAGTTCCCTAGGATTTTGATTGGGATTGGCCATCTATTTAAACCAAGGAGTTTAACTTGGTGTAATGAACTTCTTTTCCATCCATCATTATTTGCTAGCCCTTATAAGTCTAAATTCTGGGGACTGTACAGAAAATGGGGGCTAACTGATTTAAGACAAACTTTCTCAATCTTGAGCTTTTTGGAAATGGACAAGTCTGTTAAATAATAATTTGTATTTCTTGGGAGAAGTGATTTTAATAATGTGAATAAGACAAAATAATTGCATAAGAATTTTACTTTAAGTCATCAAAAACTTAAAAAAGATACAGCAAATGAAAATCATGTTTAAATATTTTGTTTAGCATCCCTTGAATTACTATTACTAGCATTTTCCTCCTCCTCTTCCTTACGTTGTTTCTACTCTCAGATGCTCAGAGTACAATGTTTCTTCACAGTATAGTCATGTTAATGATGATTAAGCTTTATTAAATTTTTCTTTAGGCTCTTTCTTTTTCTTTGACTATTTCATAGCAAAACTGGAATGCATTCTGAGTACTGCTCAAGGTGAATACTAAGTTCTTACTACAGTTTGTTGAATCAGAGGAGAAGGCATTGTGGGCTAAACATTAAGATGAAAATATGGAAACTAAGAACTTAATTCTGGTTGTACTGATAGAGTAAATCAAGAATCCTAGCTCTTAGTTGAAACTTGATTTTTCTTTTTGTTCTCTTGGGAACTAGGTGACACAGTTTTATCAGTTGCAGAGATAAAGCAATCCAAACAACTCTTATTTCACTCTTTGCTGTTTCCCAAGGAGAAGAGTCATTCAGTTGGGAAGGGTTAAACAAAGGTTAAGATTAAGGGAACTGAAACCGATAGTAGATATGAAGGCAGTAAGAAAACAATTACTTTATATAAATGAAGGCTACTCGAGTTTCTAGATGAAGTTTGTCTAAAATAAAAATACATGTAAGCCTTATCACAATGATCATTAACATAATTTATATTTATTATTAAGAATTCATGGAGGTTAGGAAAAGTGCCAGACAAGAGAGACAAATGTTATTCATTGATAACATGTTATTTAACATGTATTCCATTGACCAGCAGCATTGGTATCACCTAGGAGCCTGTTAGCTACTGCAAGTCTCTTGAATCAGAATCTGTATTTTAATAAGATTACCAAGTGACTCATATATACATAGAAGTTTGAGAAGCAGTACTACAAATTATTTTGCATTAAGTAATTGCTTAAGCTTTAAGCCGTGCTGTTTAAGCTTTAAACTACTTCTTTAAGTATGGCAGAGTTCTAGAATGTGTTGTCAAAAATTAAAAATAATATTTTTGAGTATCTTGATTAAAAGGAGTCAGCATAAGTTTTACATTACTGGAGAATGTCTCTAACACTTTAAAAAGTGGATCTGTTGTGTGCTGGGCATAGTTCTTGGTATAGTGTTTCTTGATTTAAGTAGAGCATTTCAGATTATGTCATGTGATAGCCCTGTGGAATGAAGGAGCACCTATGGCTAGATGAGAATAATGCATATTTTCCGATGAATAAACCATCATTCTGAAGAATATTCATTTATAAATTTCTTATACCATGTTGCTTATTTAGCTATATTCTCTCATTTCACTTATCCTATGATAATTCTATCACACTTGAATTATTTCATTTACTGGCAGACCCTGTATGCACTGTAAAGTCAGAGACAGTGTCTGTTTCATTAACAACTATATTTCCAGTGCCTCGTATGGTGAATGGTCTCTAATGGGAGCTTAATAAATACTTTTGAATGATTAAAAGGAATGAAATATTGAAAATAGGTATCAACCTGGACAGGGATCTCTACTGGTATTTTACTGGTATTTTAGGCTTCTGTTCTCTGATTTGAGTCTAACAGTTCCATAAATGATTGGAATAAAGGCATAGAAGAAATACTGTTACACTTGTGGATGTGTAAACTCCAGTAGTTAAAATGATGAGTAGCTTATGAAATGCTTTGCATGGAACAATAACTAAGGTAAAGTTTAACAAGGCTAAAAGTAGTATATGAATTTTGTTTGAAAAAATCAGCTTCGTTAATGAAGGATGGGAGCCCTTGTTTGCTAATAAGTTACCAAAAACAGCCAACAATGAAATAAAAGACAAGTGTGATCTTGAGTTGTTTCAGAAGTTGTTTCAGAGCATGGCTAATTGTGACCTACTATATTTGAACTCGATGGAACATGCAGCATTTTGGTCAGTTATGGATGGAACTTAGAGGAAAGTTGACAAATTAGAGTGATAATACGTGAATGAATTTCATGAGGTGTGTAGTTGCCCATGGTTGGAATGAGAGGCTTTAAGTGTATCCATTCATCTCCAGAACAGAGTGTAGTAGTCAGCAGGCATCACTTTTGCTGTTATTTGCTATCTTTCATTAGTATACCAACTGAGACTGTACTAAAAATGATGGCTTGCTGGCCTGTACACTTTTTTCAACCTTTCTGTGTAATCAGTATTTACATATTTACATCCTTATGCTTTTGGTATATTGTAATCTCTTTTAGTGAACTTTAACATGGCCACTAGATAATAAAAAAAAAAAGGTGAGCATTAAATAAGTACAAAATATTAGAATATATACTATTTATTATTGTCAAATAACTCACTGGTAACCTGGAATCAAGGGTGTCATATGGTAAATATTGAATTTGGGTAACTTAATATGTTACATAACAGTTCTCTGAAGATCATGTCCCATGTCTTATGTCCATATATGTCATTTTGATTATTCTTAGGAAAAGAATTTGGTTTGGAAAGAATCCAAGTATCCTGGTAAAGGATCTCATATTAAGACCAATTAGGAAATGTAAATTTATTTTATAAATACAGTTTTATCAATATAAAATTAATTCAGATTTTAAAAATAATATTAATTCTGAAATTACTGTTACTTTAAATAATATAGTTATTTATGTAAAGGAATTTCCAGTTATTGTTAAGGTCATAGAAAAAATAATTTTATGTCTGTTAATAAAAGGCTCTCATATATAATTGAGTAACATTACATACTTTTTAGCACATCTGTTGAAATTGCAAATTAGCTCAAAGTGTGTAACTGAATGCAGAGAAAATATGGTATATGGTAAGGAAAAGAAAAGGAGTCTTTAAAACTCCTGATTATGCCAATAAAAGTGGTTGTAAAAAGTAATTAAAAAAACTTTCTGTGATTTGTTCAATTTTAGTGGATGCTAGGCTCCTCTGTCCATGGGATTCTCCAGGCAAGAATACTGGAGTGGGTACCATGCTCTCCTCCAGGGGATCTTCCGGACCCAGAGATCAAACTTGCATTTCCTATGTCGCCTGCATTGGCAGGCGGGTTCTTTACCACTAGCGCCACCTGGGAAGCTAAACTCCTTATTGTTTGCTCTTGGGGAAACTGAATGTAATTTTTTAAAAAGATTGCGCAGGGCCATTCTTAGTCTACTTAGCAATACAGGGACTTGAGGATACATGGAGCTGATGTCCCCATTAAATGGATTGCAATATGATTTTATCCTTTCTTTCTGATTTCAAATTGTGTGCTTTTGTTTTCTCTCCTGGTCTATCACATCTTTCGCTTTGTGTCTATCTGCTTGTTTCTAATTTGCTGCCTAAATTTAGCCTTGCCTTTGTCCCTAGTCCGTGCTTCTACAAAATCAGGTCTTATGCTAATGTATTTATTTGTTTTTGTTAATTCTTCCAGCTTAGTCACTAATCCTGGCTTCCACTACTGCAACCCTCCTCCCCAGTGCTGGAAACTTCCTTTATTGCCTTTTCTTTAAAATCCTCTGACTCTCTCTCCTGCTTCTGTAACCCTTCTATTGTTTTCTCACTCCTGACCGAGGTAGAATACCCAGAATAGATTTTCTAAGTATCATAACAAAAGTGCTTTACAAAAGGACTGGAAAATAAAAGAAGATGAGAATGAGAGGGAAGATTATCTGTATCAGTCAAAGGAAATTCCCAATTGTCTTTTGAAAAAAACAGGCAGCTGTCTGTTGCTGATTTGTTGCTGGTGTCAGGAAGATGCTGGTTGCGCAGGGCCATTCTTAGTCTACTTAGCAATACAGGGACTTGAGGATACATGGAGCTGATGTCCCCATTAAATGGATTGCAATATGATTTTATCCTTTCTTTCTGATTTCAAATTGTGTGCTTTTGTTTTCTCTCCTGGTCTATCACATCTTTCGCTTTGTGTCTATCTGCTTGTTTCTAATTTGCTGCCTAAATTTAGCCTTGCCTTTGTCCCTAGTCCGTGCTTCTACAAAATCAGGTCTTATGCTAATGTATTTATTTGTTTTTGTTAATTCTTCCAGCTTAGTCACTAATCCTGGCTTCCACTACTGCAACCCTCCTCCCCAGTGCTGGAAACTTCCTTTATTGCCTTTTCTTTAAAATCCTCTGACTCTCTCTCCTGCTTCTGTAACCCTTCTATTGTTTTCTCACTCCTGACCGAGGTAGAATACCCCGAATAGATTTTCTAAGTATCATAACAAAAGTGCTTTACAAAAGGACTGTAAAATAAAAGAAGATGAGAATGAGAGGGAAGATTATCTGTATCAGTCAAAGGAAATTCCCAATTGTCTTTTGAAAAAAACAGGCAGCTGTCTGTTGCTGATTTGTTGCTGGTGTCAGGAAGATGCTGGTAGAACATCGTCATGTGGACAGGGTGTCCTTCAAGAGAGAAAGTGAACTTGGAAAAGAACATGGGTTCAGCGGGTATCTGAGCCTCTGTCTGACAAAGTTGTCTTAGGAGATAGTTATATAGTTCATGGTGCACTGGTAGAAGATTATTTTCAGTCGTTCAAACATTTGGATGCAGACTTGGCCAGATGGACCTTTCCCAGAAAGCAATTAGACATTATTTTTCCTGCTCTCATTCTCTTTCCAGGAAGGAAGTGGTATGCTTTTCTGAAGTCAAGCCCCCAGCCTGGCCTCACAAAGCAGCCAGAGCCAGTAGCCATAAATTTAACAACCTGGGAAGCATTTTAAAATGCTGCGTCATTTATGGTTATTAACCTGTGGTTCTTGAGTCCCCCAGAGCAGTGGTTCTTAAACTTTTCGGTTTCAAGGCCCCTTTGTTTTGGAAATTAATGAGGACATTTGAGAGAGATTTTGTTTATGTGGGCTATCTATCAGTACTTATCAAATTAGAAATTAAAATTGAGAAAAGTTTAAAATACAAGAACATACAAGCCTCATATCCTGTTAACTGTCAGAGTGATGGAGTCTTTACACATTGTGTAACCTCTGGAAAATACCCTTGTACACTCAAGAGAGATTAAGAATGAAAGAGCAATGAACATCTTAGTATTACTATAAAAAAAGCTTTGATTTGTAGACCCTCTGAGGGTGTCTTCAGGAAGCCCAGGGATTTTCAGACCATACTTTGTGAACTGTTACCCCTAGTGGTCTGTGAACAAAATTCAGGAGATTTACTATCTTAGAGGAGAAAAAAATTGTGTCTTTGTTTTTCACTAATTTCCAAAAGAAATGGATCATTTCTAGTGTAGGCAGAATTCAAAGTAGTATCAGAAGTGCCTATGATTTTGTTCATATGTTCACAAGACTGTGGTGTGTTAATAGCATTATTGTTACTGCAGATGTCTTAAAATATCACTTATGCCCCTCACTATATTGAAATTATTATAGTTATTAGATCTGCTGCTAGATCTTGTTAATGTGTTAATAAAAGACACCCATATTACTATGTTATCATTTAAATTTACTCTGATAACATACTTTAATACAATCAATTTTCTTTGCAATCCTATGTATTTTATGCATTTAAGAACATTATTTTGAGAAGAGGTCAGTGCAAACAAAAAGCTAAGAACTCTTCAGACTTTCAAGCACCTTAGAAAGCCTCCAGTCTGTTATTCTCATGGGAATGTCTACTGTACATTACTGGGGGTACTGGTGACATTCTGAGATCCTGAAATGTCAGTAAGGAAGTATGATCTAGTTGGGCAAAGCCACAGTTGATGAACAGTTTGCAGCTGACATGTGATCCTTGGTCATTCTAATGCAGACCTCAGAATTGGAGTCGCTAGCAGGGAATTTGACACTTGACCACTGAGGAGTAATCCATCTTCTTTTTCTCTTAGGGAGTCAGAAATAGCCTGTTGGCTTAAAAGCTTGTTCTTGGTCTGGCATGATGAGATCTTACCTGAAATGCTCTGCAACCAATTCTGAATTGTCAATGCTTATGAATGAGTGTGGGATGCTCAAAAGGATTCTGAATTAAATTAATAACCCAAACTAAATAAGTGAATAAGCAAAAAGGAATGTATAGAGTAGAGGCTGTTCTTTTCAACTGTTGGATTAATAAGTTTTTTGGCACATTTTTAGAGGCAGTTTGAGAGTTAAAAGTGGGAATTGGTTCTGCAGGAACTTAGCCCTGGCCTCTGGATCATGTGGTTTATCTTTATTTTTCTTGGATAGTCTCTGAAAAGTATACCCTTCGAAGATGTTATGATGATGTAATACAACAGAGCACTGCATTAGGAGTTCATGACTTTGGTTCTTGTTCTGCCTCTAATTAGCTGTGGGCACTTGGGAGAATGTCTCAGCCTCTATATGATAGTGTCATCATTAACTGCTCCAGAGCTGCTCCAGCTCAAGTATTCCTATGGCTAGCAATTTGGGGTGGAGAAGGCAATGGCACCCCACTCCAGTACTCTTGCCTGGAAAATCCCATGGACGGAGGAGCCTGGTGGGCTATAATCCATGGAGTCACTAAGATTCAGACATGACTGAAGCGACTTAGCAGCAGTAGCAATTTGGGGATATATTCATTAATTCATTTATTAATTGAAATTTATTGAACACCTGCTATCAGCCAAACATTATATTAGGCAATTGGGGATTCAACAAAGAATAGTACATGATCCCTGCCTTTAGGAGTCTATAGCCTAGAGTTTAACCAACAAATGAAGATTTATGTGAAACCCACTTTCTAGAGATAAAATACCAGAATTTTCCGGTGAATTCCATGAAGACTAGCCATTCACATTCACATAGCATCAACAGGATCATGCTTTTTTAAAAAAAAATATTTTTAATTGGAGGACAATTGCTTTACACTATTGTGTTGGTTTCTGCCATATACATCAACAGGATCACTCTTGGTATGTACTGGAACCTCGGAAGGTGTGGGCCCTCATCACCTTTCCATGATGAGCCTTGATTCACTTAACCAACATTTACCAATGGCCTAAAATGAGACCTCGGTTTGAATCCTGGGTTGGGAAGTTCCCCTGGAGAAGGGATAGGCTCCCCACTCCACTATTCTTGGGCCCCCTTGGTGGCGCAGACAGTAAAGAATCCTACCTGCAATGCAGAAAACCTGGGTTCGATCCCTGGGTTGGGAAGATTGCCTGGAGAAGGAAATGGCAACCCACTCCAGTATTCTGGCCTGGAAAATCCCCATGGACAGAGTAGCCTGGTGGGCTACAGTCCATGGGGTCGCAAAGAGTTGGACATGACTGAGCGACTAAGCACACATGAAATGTATGAGACACTATGCTGGACTCTGGGTCATGTTCTTTGCCCTGAAGGAGTTCATGGGGCAAAAAGATACAATAACTAATTAAGGTGATAAGGGTTATAATGGAGTTTATACCAACTACATTTTGTGTACAGAGGAAGGCACACTTGATCTAGTCAGATGTTAGTAGTTGTGGGAGGTTGGAGAAGATTTCACAGAAGAGTTGGCATGAAAATCTGAACTTTGAAAACAGTGATTTGCAAGTTGGAGAAGTCTGATTATGGTTTGGAATCTGGTCTAGGACATCAGTTCAAGTTTTGAATGTTGAGGCTGGGAAAATGTCATCCTTTATCTCCCTTCATATAATATTGAAAATGTTAATGATGAGGGGGCTTGTATTTTTGTTTTTTGCTTTTGGATGTAATGTCTCATTTGTAACTTTTTCTTCAATGTTTGTATGTGTGTTTGTATGTATATTTTAGAAAAAACACCCAGATTAATGCCCGATAAAGGAAGCATGTATTACCCACGGGTCCAGCATTATCGAGAACTACTTGACTCTTTGCCCATGGATGCCTATACACACGGCTGCATTTTACATCCTGAGCTAACCGTGGACTCCATGATCCCAGCTTATGCAACAACAAGGATTCGCAGTATGTAGAAATCTTAAAGACCTGCAATTCTGCCTCACGTTTCTTTTCATTCATTTTTGACACCCAGCACATCTCAGGAAGACGTGAGGGCGGGATTGTTGAGTTTTCTTCGTGGACATGCATGTTACACATCGATCCATGTACCAGGCAGATTAATCTGTGCTTCACCTGTTTGGCTGGACATTTATTGTCTTTAGGATCTGATTTTCCAGCTCTTGGCCTTGAGGACCAAGCATAGATAAAACTCAGAAGAGTGGCCTGTGGAAGAGTAAAGAACGTAACGTGTTTGCAGGGACAGACAGATTAGGAATCAGAAAAGCTGGGGTCTGCAGGCAGTTATGCGCAATGGAGTTCAGATTTCTGGTCCTTTAGTTTTGTTTCATTATGTGAAGGCTGTCTCATCATTACTCTGCGTCTAAATTCAGTGACTGGCGATCCCCTGAGGTTGAGCTGTGACCACTAGCTTTCTCCTTCCTCCTGTCCCGAGGGTAGGGATGGGTCAGTGTATGGGATGAGGAGCAGGAGGTGTGCTCCATGCCCCAGGGGTGGGGAGGGAAGGGGCCGTGGTCAGACTGAGGAGTGACGAGGAACACTCACACTCAGATCNGAGGGAAGGGGCCGTGGTCAGACTGAGGAGTGACGAGGAACACTCACACTCAGATCTCCAATTCCACCAAGCCCTTCTTTCCATGACATCATACCTTGTTTTTAGGGTTCTCTTACTTGGGCTGTTTTCCTTTCTTTTCGATACCCTGCTCCTCAGTCCTCTCCTGTCCCCAGCTCTGCCTCCCTCCATCTTCCTCGTCTCTCTCCTGGCCTCTCACCTTCCTCTGGGTCCTCCTCCTCCTCCTCATAAATACCCATCATATGATTTGAAGCAAGTATTCTGACCATAGTTCTGTCATCCAGAATAAATATTTCTCTAAATAATGCTTTTTCCTTCCCTTCACAAAAAAAGTTTTATTAGGGAAGACTTGAAAGTTACTGAAAAGTAGGACAACTATTGTGCACTTAGCACTCACGGTGTGCTGGACTTTGCTGTAAGCACTTTCCAAGGTGCCTCTTATTTCATCCTCAACCTGCATGGCAGATAACATAGCTCCAATGTAAAGGTGAGGAAACTGAGGCACAGAGAGGGGGGAGTCTGGGGCTGAGAGAGGGCGTGCCCCCCCCAGCGCTTATGCTCTTACCATCAAGTTTCCCTACTTCTCCTTGTTTCTTACATGGTAGGGAGGAAATAATTTTCTGTTTCAAAACTGACTTCATCATCAGGCCAAATTGGTAACACGGAGTCTGAACTGAAAAAGCTTGCTGAAGAAAACCCGGATTTACAAGAGGCGTACATTGCAAAACAGAAGCGACTTAAAGTAAGTAAACTAGGCTGTCCTCAACTGACATCTGCTATTTGTGCTAAATGGTCCACTTTTTGTAAAGTATTGCTATTTCTTAGAATATCTTCTATTAAATATCACAGATCATCAGTGCACATGTTACCTTTGGCTCATGCTCTGCTTTTAGAAAAAATTTTTCTTTATTAGATTTGATATTCAGACCTAATGACAGTTGCTTGAAGAGCAGATATTGCTCATGCTGGTTGCCAAGGCAAGTTATAAAATGTGAAAGCAGGTTAATAAAATATCATAGGAATCTGTCATTTCAGGTGTTTTGTACTTTGAGTCAGCTGGACCTCTGTTTATGACTTCTATATACCAATAAAGCAATCAGCGAATTTTTTTTTTTAACACTGTATATCTTCCCCTCACACCTTTCATTTTTTTCCTTTTTACCTTTTGATCACCTTCACCCATTTCTCCTACCTCTTACCTCCTGCCTTTGGCAACCACTGGTCTATTCTCTGCATCTATGAGCTTAGTTGTTTGTTTGTTTTTAGAGTCCACAAATAAGAGAGATAACATGGTATTTGTCTTTGTCTGATTTATTTCACTTAGCATAATTCTCTCAAGGTTTTACTACATTGTTGTAAATGGCAAAATTTTTATTTTTTTTGTAGCTGGAAAATATTCCATTCTATATATACACATCACAATATTTTAAAATCCATTCATCTGTTGATGAACACTTAAGTTGTTTTGCGTATTGTAAATAATACTGCAAGGAACATAGGACTGCAGGTATCTTTCAGATTCATTAAAAACACTTTTTTAAATTGAAGGATAAGGTTTACAATGTTGTGTTGGTTTCTGCCGTACAACAACGTGAATCAACCATGAGTACACACATATCCCTCCGTCTGGAACCTTCCTCCCACCCCCAACCCCATTCCACCCTCTAGGTTGTTGGGGAGCACTGGGTTGGGCCCCCCGTGTTATTCATTAGCTTCCCATTAGCTATCTGTTTTACGCATGATAATGTTTCAATGCTCCTCTTTCAGTTCATCTCACCCTCTCCTCACCTGCTGTGTCCACAAACCTGTTCTGTGTGTCTGTGTCTCTATTCCTGCCCTGTAAATAGGTTCATCAGTACCATTTTTCTAGAATCCAGATAGATGCGTTATTAAGAATTTATGTTTTTGTTTTTCTTTGGCTAAATACCCAGAAGTAGAATTGCTGGATTGTATGTTAGTTCTGTTTTTAATTTTTTGAGGAACCTTTACACTATTTTCCATCATGGTTGTACCAGTTTACATTCCCACCAATAGAACACAAAGGTTCCCTTTTTTTCACATCCTTGTCAACACTTAAAGTTTTTGTCTTTTTGATAATAGCCATTCTAACAGGTGAGGTAGTATCTTACTGTGGTTTTGATTTGTTTTTCCTGATGATTAAAAATGCTGAGCATCTTTTCATGTACCTATTGGTCTTTGCATATCTTTGGAAAAATGCCTATCTAGATCTTCTGCCCATTTTTAAATTTAATTGTTTACTTGTTATTGAGTTATGTGTGTGTGCGTGCATGCTTAGCCATGGCCAGCTCTTTGCAACCCCATGGATTATAACCCACCAGGCTTCTCTGTCTGTGGGATTTCCCAGGCAAAGATAAGGGGGTGGGTTGCCATTTCCTACTCCAGGGGATCTTCCCATCCCAGGGATCTAACCTGGGTCTCCTGCATTGCAGGCAGATTCTTTACCAACTGAGCTACCAGGGAAGTCACACGTCTCTGACCCCTCAGTTATTCATTTGTTGAAGACTGCTGAATTTCCATTCTTAAACTTCCTTTGTGGTCCAGTGGTTGATTCTGTGCTCCCAATGTAGGGGACATGGGTTCGATCCCTGGTCGGGGAAGATCCCATGTGCCACGTGACATGGCCAACAAAGCAAAGCAAAATCAACACAACCATCTTCAGGACTCCTCTGGCTCTCCAGTGACTGAGACTCTGCATTGCCAGTGTAGAGGCTAGGAGCCCCATCCCTGCTTGGGGAACTGAGATCCCACATGCTGCTAGGTGTGGCCTAAAGATTAAAAAAAAAAAACTTAAAAAATTCCATTCTTGAATCGGGCATGAAAGGAATCTCTCTTTTTAAAAACTTTTTATTTTGTACTGGGGTAAAGCTGATTAACAATGTTGTGACAGTTTCAGTGAATAGCAGAGCGACTCAGCATACATATGCAAGAATCGATTCCCCCCAAACCCCCCTCCCAGCGAAAGGAGTCTCTTCGTGCCCCTCATATTCTTTGTCCTCTGTGATCCTTTGGTCCCACAGGAGTTGCCAGTGGACGGTGAGTCCGGCCCCTGGGATAATTTCACAGCCAGGGCATTTTCCCTCAGGTTTGCTTTTGCTTCAGTTATTCTGTTTCTTCTCATGGTCTAGAATAAACAGACTCCCACTGTGTAAAAACTTATATCTTCTCTGCTCTACACTGATTATTTTTACAGGCATAAATAACCTACTTAGTTATTTTTGTTAATTAGTCAAAGCTCCTTGACCATGACAATGTCAAATATTTGAAGAAAATTCTTGATGAATTGGAGAAAGTCTTGGATCAGGTTGAAACTGAGTTGCAAAGAAGAAATGAAGAAACCCCAGGTAGGTTCTTATTTGTGTTCTTTTTGTCTTTTTCTGTATACCAGCGGTATTTATGGGAACATTCTTAGATTTCAGCCAAAACATTCTGTAACCTATTTTTAACTGTTAGTACTCACAGACAGTTTGAATTATGAGAGCAACAATAATACTGAATTCAGCAAAACCCAGGTGTCTAGTTGTAACTCTGCATTTATATGAAATACAGCCAGTGAAGAATTTTTTTTTGCACAACTTAAGTTATGGTTGGTAGAGTCCTACCTGGCCTGTTTCACAAATTTTAATTACAATGGTTAGTTTGGAAGTGTTCTATTTGCTAGAACATTCCCTCTAGTTTTTTCCTTAGGTGGGGGAAGAATTGCAAATTGAAGTAAAGTATAACATGGGTGGGCTTCCCAGGTGGTACTCGTGGTAAAGAACCCAGCTGCCAATACTGAACGCATAAGACATGAGTTCAATCCCTGGGTCAGGAAGATCCCTTGGGGGAGGAAATGGCAACCCACTCCAGTATTCTTGCCTGGAGAATCCCATGGACAGAGGAGCCTGGGGCAGGGAAGGGTGGGGGCTACACTCCATAGAGTTGCGAAGAGTTGGACACAACTGAAGTAACTTAGCATAACATGGGAGTCAGCCTGTGTGTGTGTGTAGGCTGGCCGGTGAGCACCCATCTTCTGTACCTATGAACATGAATTAATGATGAAGCCCAAGTGCAGACACATGGACTGTTTGCCCTATTCTGACTGACCACAAAGTTGAAGACCATATTACCTGCAACTTTCTTCACAATAAGGATTTTCTTCTGTTTTAAATAAGTAACAATTAACAAAAGCAGCAACTACTGAGTGATATTTTAGACCCAACCTTATAGATTTTCCTCAAGTACACGTGTCATTTTTTAACCCACGAGGAAATATCTGTTAACTCTGTTGGCTTGGAGGCATGGTAGACAGGCTTCGAGCCCAAGTAGCTCTAGTGGCACCTAGGGACCCAGGTGTCTGTTAGATGTCAAGCAAGTGTCCCTTAGCTTTGGGATGGATTTTTTTTGATGTGGACCATTTTTAAAGTCTTCATTGAATTTGTTACAATATCCCTTCTGATTTATGTTATGACTTTTTTTGGCTGAGAGGCATGTGGGATCATATTTCCCCCACCAGGGATTGAACCTGCACTCCCTGCATTTGAAGGTGAAGTCCTGTAGCTTGGGATACATTTGCATGCCCCCCACCCCCTTTTTTAAGCATAGAATTACTTTCTGAATGTGATTGTCAAGAAAATGTACCATGGCCTTCATCTTTTGCTATACTCACCTTGCTCTCAACACTAAGAGCAGAGATGCTAACCAGTCTGTCTGTCCAGTGCGGGCATGTGTGCTCAGTAAGTCAATCATGTCTCTGTGACTCTGACTCTGTGTGACCCCGTGGACTGTAGCCCACCAGGCTCCTTGTCCATGGGATCCTCCAGGCAAGAATACTGGAGTGGGTTGCCATTGCCATTCCTTCCTCCAGGAGATCTTCCTAATCCAGGGACTGAACCCATGTCTCCTGCATGGGAAGGCGGATTCTTTCCCACTAGCACCACCTGGAAAGCCCCGTCGGTACAGCACTTGCCCTTAACCCACCGCGTCCCTTTCTTTAATTAGAAGAAGGCCGCCAGCCGTGGCTCTGCGGGGAATCCTTCACCCTGGCAGACGTATCGCTTGCTGTTACACTGCATCGACTGAAGTTCCTGGGGTTTGCGAGGAGAAACTGGGGAAATGGAAAGCGACCCAACTTGGAAACCTATTACGAGCGTGTCTTGAAGAGGAAAACATTTAACAAGGTTTTGGGACATGTCAACAATATATTAATCTCTGCGGTGCTGCCAACTGCATTCCGAGTGGCCAAGAAAAGGGCCCCAAAGGTTCTTGGCACCACCCTTGTGGTTGGTTTGCTTGCAGGAATGGGATATTTTGCTTTTATGCTTTTCAGAAAGAGACTTGGCAGCATGATATTAGCGCTTAGACCCAGACCAAATTACTTCTAGGTGGGTGGGATCTAGTGGTGGCCATTAATCCAGCCATTCAGCTAGACCCTTCTCCACTCTTTCAGGTCCAGGGAAGAATGACCCTGGGAAACTAGTAAAAAACATAATTGACTTTACTCTTTGGCTAGCTTATGTGAGGAAAGGAGGTAATAAAGATATTTTTGTGCGCTGGTAACTCTGACAGGACTTATTTGCAAACCTGAACTAATTCATCCTTAAAACATGCACAAAGTCAAGATAGGTGAATACCGACAGGTAGAGGAAAGACCTTTAACTCAAAATTCCAGTTCAAGTTCTGGGTTATTTGGGGGGAGAACATTATTATTATGAGCAGACAGTAATGATAACCTATAATCGCCCATAACTCTTCATCTGATACTATCTGGGTGTGTTGAGTGGTGAATAGTGAGCAGTATTTTCTCCTAGAATTCAGAAATCATCTTTGTTACTCAGCCCAGGTGTTCAGACAGCAGAAGGGCACGGCAGTGCTTCATACTCTCACTGTCAGCTTAGGCTGAAATAAGGGAGGTGGAGGGACAAAGGAGGGGGAAAGGGAGGACGAAGTCTATGTAATGATGGCAATGGAATGCAGCCTCCATGTGCCCCCAATGCATTCATGGCTGCCTGTCCACTTAGTATAACATTACATTTGACTACTGTGGCTACAGCCCATGCATCCTCGTGTAACTGAGGACCTTGGAAAAAGAGGACTGGAGAGTCACTGGGGGGAGTTGGCTGGAGAAAACTCTGGGCTTTAAACTTACAGCACCTCACCTTAGTGTTAATTTTAAATGCACATAAATCACAGTCATTAGTTTAATAAAATTAACTGCTTATCTATTTGGGCAAAAGATACCTACCGGAACATGTCTTGATTAGCATTTACATGAAAATCTTAAATGGCATTAAAATTTCTTCTTGGTTCCCCGATTGGAAGGTACCTATGAGATGTCCCTCCCATGGACTGTTGCAAACGGTCACTGGAAGCCTGGGCCTCTTCAGCCCTTGTGTGCACACAAGTGGCATTAGCTGAATGTCCTAGGTAGTCACTGACATGGCATGTGGCTGGGGAGGGGATAGTTTGATGATCTGGGAGTGATAAGCAGGCTTATTCTTCATTTGGAGAGGCTGGTGGTATGTTAACACAAAAACTGTTGTCTAAGCCTTGCATCTATTTATTGTCTTTAACAGAGCCTTAAAAGGTTACAGGGAGGGAGAAAGTCTAGTCTTGGTCCTTGGCAATGAAATACAGGGAGATGAAATAAGTCAATAGATAATGATTCCACCTACATTCATTCATGTATGTTTTGGCACTGTGGGGGGTGCCTCAATCCATCTGGAAGGGATAATTCCAGTATGTCCCGTGAACAGCAATGGGGTATGTGCTCAGGAAAAATCTTTCCTGGTGACGGCAAGGTGGGGTTTCCCTGGAGTTGGCCAGAAAGACATGGGGAGCAGTGTTAGGTCTGACGGGAAGTATGCGTAGTGAGCAGAGCTAAGGTTCCAGCAAGCAGCAAAAGCCTGCTTGGACTGCCTCAGATTGACTGTGCAAGTGGCTAAAGCATGTACTGACTTCTTCACTAATAGGAAACAGTCCTACTTACTAAACTATGACTTTGATGGTAAAGTGATTCTCATGAATCAGTTGTTTCAGAAAATCTTGATGAACTGGATATTCCCTATTGACAAAAAATTAATAAAATGTTCAGTGTAAACTCTATCCATCAAGAATTAACAGGCTGGCAGCTTTTATAATGTCTTGATTTTGAGCCGTAGTGCACTGTTGTATAGAGTGTTTAAATTTGTTGCTGGGACATTCCAATCCATGTATTCATAAAAGAGCCACAAAGCTGGTCATTCAGTAGTTCAGAGGGTTTCAGAGTTCTTTATGTCATCCTGCAAGAAGCAAGAACTCAGACATGAAGAAATCAAAAGTGGATTTTTATAAAAATCTACAAAGGCGAAGGATTGTTGGTTAAGAACAGATTTAAAGGTTACTGCTGGCTTTGCCTTACAATTTATATTATTACTGATCAATAGAAAAGTTAATGAAAGTATTTGTGATTTTCAGATTCAGTTTCATTGGAAATAGGCTTCTGTCACATTTAAAGGGAATGCATTTGTGGCGATTTCTTCATGGATGCCCTTAAGTTTATACTTTTAAGATATTTGTTTAGGAGCATAATGCCCACTAGGTGTCGTTGTTCGTCCAGTAGTTTGAGATTGGGCTTTCTCTAGGTTCAGCGAGCCTTCTGAATGTTTCAAGGGAAGATAAACATTAATGACCTTAGTTTCTGAGATGAGGGCATCTTCATCAGATCATTCATCTGTAAAAGAGCTTGAGGCACATGTAGTATTGATCTGTAATGCTTGGAAGGGATAACTGTACCACACAATGTCAAGCTAAAGAGCTGAACATATCCTATTAGCAAAATAAGCACTTTTACGTATTTTGTCTTTCATGATCATTGGTAGACTGGCCAGTGTGCTCAATTTAATTTTCAAAATTTGTATAGATACCACAATTAGAAAAATGCCTGAGGTACTACATTTACGTTGGCTATTTATGTCTTAACACAAATACTACTTTATTGTTATTGCTGTTATATGCCTTTTGGATCCACTTTCCCTAATTGCAGATAGTTGTAAATTGCTTGCTCGATTTTTAGTAACTATTGATATTGACACCAGAGCTGTAGATTTTTTGGTGTTGTTGAATGTAATAGAGATCAAGATACTATTCTGCCTGTAAGATCAATAAAGTTAATTGGAAAATAAACATGTATACTGAAAGTACTAATTTTGTAATCTTTTTAAGAAATCAGATTGTGTTTTTCATTTAATGTCAAAGCATAATGTCATAATTAAAGTACGCAAAGTAAGCAGAAGTCAGTTATTCAAAATATTTAGCTACAGGATGTCATATTTTATTTGTAATATAAAAATTACTGACTTAATTTACTTAAATATAGATAATTTTCTGGTTAAAATGAGTGGTGGCTTAAAGAATAACATATTTGATACTGATTATTAAAGGAATTTTTGCAGACAGCCACCTGTAAGGTATGAAGCATGAAAATGAAAAACGTAATTTTTTTTTTCCAAAACATTTTGTTACATTTTTGTGTGTGTGTTCAGTCGCTTTTTGTGTCCTATTCTTCACTACCCTGTGGACTGCAGCCCACCAGGCTCCTCTGTCCATGGAATTTTCCAGGCAAGAATACTAGAATGGGTTGTCATTTCCTTTTCGAGGGAGTCTTCCTGACCCATGGATCAAACCTGCATCTCTTGTGTCTCCTGCATTGGCAGGTGAAGTCTTTACCTGGGAAGTCACATGTTTACTGTCTTTCAAATATAACTCTTTTTATGATATTTATGTATTCCTTTTATTGAGTCATGGATTATGAATAATTCAAATTACTGTCCATATTTCTAACCTTGGTGAGCTTAGCCATTATTCTAATCATCAAATAGAAGTTGAGTACTACTTTTGTTTTACACTGAACAAAGCCAACTAAGTAAGAATCGAATTGACCTCATTTTCCCCGAGTTTGCAAACAAAACAAAATGCAACAATTTTGAATGCCACGGAATGTCAGATGCATATACCACTCTATAGTCTGCTCAGAAAAGAAAAAAAACACTATAAGGACAGAAAAATCAAATTAATACAATGAATAAATTAGTATTTAGACATAATCTTCATCTTGTTTGTGCTAAATATTTGATCTGCTTATACTGTTGTTTTCTACTTAGTCCTACCAGAATGTCTTGATTTTCTAATTTTCCAGAATACCAGTGATTTGCTAAGTCGGGTGTGTGCATGCATACCAGCATGCTAAGTCACTTCAGTCATGTCCGACTCTCTGCAACCCTGTGGAGTGTAACCTGCCAGGCTCCTCTGTCTATAGGATTCTCCGGGCAAGAATACTGCAGTGGGTTGCTAAGTAGAATAGTAGATTCCAAATCAAGTGATGAAGTATAATTTCTAAGAGGGGATAATAGTTTTGTTTTAAATCTTGTATTACATTATGAAAATTAAGAGAGGGAGAGAGGAGAACTCATGGGTTAGAAAGGCAGTACACTGATGAAAACAGTATACTGTATTACTTGTGCCTGAGTTGAGCCTTTGATTTTGTTTTGGAAGATTGACATATGTGTCAGGAGGCCATGGGGTACAGCAGGCTATGAGGTACAAGGCAACAGTACCATGTAGAGTTTGAGACATCTCATGCTTACCATGGGCCTTAATATACTCTGATTCAAGTAAGGTGGCATATCTTGTCCATGGCACCTTGTCATAAAACTCCTTTCGGAAGGATAGACCTTTCTTTTGTCTTAAGCCTTTACTTTGAAAAGTGAAAGTAGCTCAGTCGTGTCCGACTCTTTGCGACCTCATGGACTATGCAGTTCATGGAATTCTCCGGGCCAGAATACTGGAGTGGGTAGCCTTTTCCTTCTCCAGGGGATCTTCCCAATGCAGGGATTGAACCCAGGTTTCCCACATTGCAGGCGGGTTCTTTACCAACAGAGCCACAAGGGAAGCCCAAGAATGCTGGAGTGGGTAGCCTATCCCTTCTCCAGTAGATCTTCCCGACCCAGGAATCGAACCAGGGTCTCCTGTATTGCAGGCGGATTCTTTACCAGCTGAGCTATCAGGAAGCCCAAAGCCTTTACTTTATTCATTATTTATATATTGGCTACTTAATTACAATGTACTGTCTTTGAATTCCCTTACTAAAAGAAACCAATAATATTGGTAAAAATATAGAGATGGTAATGCAATGTAATTCAAAGGGTCAGGTAATTTTTCAGGCATTGGGCAGCATGTATAAGTCTTTGTATTATGAGATTAAGCTGTCTTTTGAATATGTTTCTGATATTCAATAAAGCCACACAAACACATCATCAAATATGCATCCTATTAAAAATATAATGAAGATATAATTTCAGAAAATCTATATTTATTAAGTTCAATGCTCAAAAGAAAGTAAAGGTTTGCATTTAGAAAATTAAATGAACTAAAATTTATTAGCACTAAAAGCAGAGGTAGCTATGTTGTAGAAATAGTCACAAATTCTTCTCATTTCTCCACTTATTTCCTTTCAGTCTTCCCTTCAAAAATAGCATCTGCAGAGCATGACTATTAACATAGCCTACCAGAGAGTAACCTACCAGAGATATTAGATGTCAAGTAGTGAATAAAGTCACTGGAGGTCCATTCCGGGCAGAGTGGAGGGTCTCCTGAACACCTCGTTAACCACCCAGGCAGACCATGCCCTAGTGAAAACCCTGAGGTGGACCTGGGCTTTTCAGTCTTGGCATTATTGATGGTGCAGGATGGATCATTCTTGTGTAGACCTTTTGCACGTGTTGTAGGCTGTCCAACACTATCCCTGACCTCTGTCCACTGAAGGCCGGTAACTCCGCTTTGCTCCGCTGCTGTGTCAACCAAAGCTGTCTTCAGATATTCCCATGTGTCATCTGGGGGGACAGTCACCTCCTGACAAAGACTGCTGCTGTATACTCACCCTGTGTGTGTGTGTGCTAGATCACTTCAGTCATGTCTCTTTGCAACCCTGTGGACTGTAGCCCCTGGGCTCCTCCGGAGTCCATGGGATTCTCCATGCAAGACCACTGGAGTGGGTTTCCCTGCCCTCCTTCAGGGGATCTTCTTGGCCCAGGGATCAAACCTGTGTCTCTTGCGGCTCCTGCATTGCAGGCAGATTCTTTCCCACCGGGCCACTGGGAAAGCCCCACACCCACCCTGACGAAGCCCAGAACCAGGCCTTGACAAGACCTGCAGGGAAGACGGATTTGGGAGGTCGAGTCCTGTCAAGGGAGAGGTGCTTGGGGAACATCACGGGTTTCCACTCATCTGCTGTAACAGGAGTCCCCAGACCCCGGGCCACGGACTGGCACTGGTCTGTGGCCTGTTATTAACTGGGCCGAAAAGCAGGAGATTGAGTGGCCGGTGAGCAAGCCGAATGGAACTGCCTGTCTTTACAGAGCTGCTCCCTATCGCTTGCATCACTGCTTGAGCCCCGCCTCTCGGCAGATCAGCGGCAGCATTAGATTCTCATAGGCGCACAAACCCTACTGCGAACTGCACATGCTAGGGATCCAGGTTATGTGCTCCTTATGAGAATCATCTTAAAACCATCCTCATCCTCCTACCAGCGCTCTGTCCATGGAAAAGTTGTCTTCCATGGAAAAGTTGTCTTCCATGAAACTGGATCCTGGTACCTGAAAGTCTGGGGACTGCTGCTCTATAACAAAGCATTAAACTGAACCTATACAATATAAAGGTTATTAGCCAGTAAATGAACTGCCTACTAGAACAAATCAAAGTCCTTTGAAGGAAACATAACAGAAAAGATCAAGAGTCTACAATGAATCACTACCAACGTNTTAGTAATGAAAGCAGTAAAAAAAAAAAAAAAAAAAAAGACATGCAAAAATCAGGAAAATTAGGCCTATATAGTCAATCAAAAAAAAGTAATTGTAAATAGAAACAGAATGTGATGAACTCAAATGTTAGATTTAACAAAGATTTTAAAGCAGCTAAAGACCAGTAAATGTTTAATTCTTTTAATGGAATTAAAGGAAAATAATGGCTCAGTGGTAAAGAATCTGCCTGTAATGCAGCAGATGCAAGTTTGATCCCTGGATTGGGAAGATCCCCTGGAGGATGGCATGGCAATCCAGTCCAGTATTCTTGCCTGGAGAATCCCATGGAATGAGGATTTTGGTGGGCTATAGTCCATAGGGTCTCAAAGAATTGGACATGACTGAAGTGACTGAGCAGACACATACATAGTCTATTTGAGTCAATAGATAAGGAACCATAGTAGAAAAATAAAAAATATAAGAAGGACCAAATGGAAACTCGAAAATACAAAAGTGCTGTAACTGAAGTGAAAAAATTCACTGGATAAGCTTCATGAGCAAATAGATTGTAAAGGAGAGACAAAGGAACAGAATTTCAGGGACAGATGGATAATATCAGCTGGTCTAATATGTGTGTTATTCAAGTCCTAGAAAGAGAAGAAGGTAAGGATGAGGCAGGAAAAATATATAATTAAAATAATGCCAAATCTCTCCAAATTTGATGCAAAACATTAACTAACAAATCTAAGAAAATGGAACACTGTGGAAGATAAATACAAAGAAACCTGCACCTGGACACATCATAGTGGACTGCTGAAAACAAAACATAAAAATAAACTCTTGAAAGCAGTCAGAGGGGGAAAAGGACATATAATATACAAGTGAACAACAATAAGAATGTCTGCCTAGTTAGAAACTCTGGACGTCAGAAGAGAGCAGAAATGTCCTTCAAGTGCAGATGGGGAGAAAATCTTTAGAGTTCTATAGCCAGAGAAATATCTCTAAAGAATTGAGTGAAATAAAGACACTTTCAGATAAATGGAAGCTGAGGAAATTGGAGCTAGCAGGCCTGCAAGATAAAAAGATTTTAAAGGCATTCTTGAGACTGATGAGGGAATGACATCAGAATGAAAATCTAAATCTACACAAAGGAGGAAAAATACGTGCCAGAAGCAGCGATATATGGATAATATAAAAGATCATTTTTATCACTTCCTAATTTCCTTAAGAGGCAACATCCAAAAATGACAACATCCTAAGGTGGATTTTACAGTTTAGGTAGAAGTAAATATGTGACAAAAAAGCAAAAAATTTTGGGGTGATGGATAAATGGAATTATATCATTGTAAGGCTATTAGATTTGTGGAGTGTGAAGTATGAAGTGTGAAGAGGGATGTTTCAAGTGT